TACGCCCTCGATCCCCAGATTGAGGGACCCCCCTTCGGCACCTCCCAGGACATCAACAACAAGCCTCCGGCTAATCAACACATGAGACCTCAGAACAAGGAGAGCCTTCGGCATCATCATTATTCTCCATTTTGAACCAAGGTTTCACATTTTCGATTCATCGTTGGGGGAATTCGGTGCACTCTTTTTCCCTCATTAGGATTTTTTCCCACAGGGTTTTTCCTAATGAGGTTTTTAACGAGGCATCCCCCTAAAATGAAACGAAAAGCGTCAGCCTTCGGCCCACAACAGCAACGCAACTACTCCACTCCTTTTCACCACTTTGCAAGTGCCTCAAGGAGTGGGGGACTAGAGGACCCCCTCGGGAAAAATCACAAACATGACCCCTCAAGTCCCGACATGTGGGTAACTGAGGGACTGCCCTCGGCAGAATAAACAAACAGCAAACTACCCACAACTCTACAAACTACAAACGGAACGACGGCAGAGGACAAACACAAATTACTCCTTTTCCCTCAAGTACCTTTCGGCAAAAGGAGTGAGGGACTCTTGATGGAGTATATGGCCCGGGAACCCCCGGCCCACAGACTCCTACTGCTCCAATAAAGTCCCAACAGGCCCAGAAAGCACAACAGGCCCAAATCACGGCGCCCAAGATACCAAGCAGCCCACAAATGCGCACCAGGGGTGCCTTCGGCCCATTGGCCGAAGGCTCTAACTCTCACAGGAGGGCCAAGACAGCAAGACAAAGTTACTGGGAAAAACGGCGAAAATCAGTAGCCCTCGGCACCTAGAGCCCTCGGCACCAGGGGGTCCCCGGTACTCAGAGCACTCGGCTAGTCCTCTACAGCCGAGGGCACCTTCCCCGACATGATATTCGCGCCACATGCGTACAGATCACCATACCCTGTACAACGTCCCATCCTATAGCCGCATTAAATGCGGCCACATGCGGTTGCCAGCACCAACCAGTTGAGGTGACCTCTCGGCCAATGGACGCTTGACGCGTGTCCCTGTCCGGCATTTATTGCTACTATAAATAGCACCCCATTTCCCCATTTGTAACCACGCTGAAAACACTGAACACTCTCCAATATACTTTCTCTCTCTATACATACTTGCTCTGACTTCTCTCTTGTTATTCCCCGAAATAACCCCTCGGATAAGCTACCCCCCGGGTACACTATCCATCAATAATGATAATGATAATGATAATGATAATGATAATGATAATGATAATGATAATGATAATGATAATGATAATGATAATGATAATGATAATGATAATGATAATGATAATGATAATGATAATGATAATGAGAATGATAATGAGAATGACAATGACAATGACAATGACAATGACAATGACAATGACAATGACAATGACAATGACAATGACAATGACAATGACAATGACAATGATAATGATAATGATAATGATAATGATAATGATAATGATAATGATAATGATAATGATAATGATAATGACAATGACAATGACAATGCTAATGACAATGATGATGACACTGATGATGACACTGATGATGATGGTGATGATGATGATGATGATGATGACAATAATAATAATAATAATAATAATAATAAGAAGAAGAAGAACAACAATAGTATGCCAATAATATACTTTCCTAATAAATAATACTATTAGTAATAAATTGTCAAAGTACTATAATTAAATAATATACTTCGTATATTTTACGATGTATCGCGTATCTCGTAAATTTGTATGAGAATTATGCTAATGAAAGTAAATATTACATTTATTCACATTACGGAGTAATGTTGCATATTTGCATGATTTGAAAATGAGCGGGCGATAAATAATTTAAGCGTGAATATGAGAAATTTTCAAGTTCAAGATGAATATTTGTAATTATTTTTACATAACACAATGTATCATAATGTAAAACGAAATACCAATTTATAACACATTTTCCTGTAACAATAAATAAAATCTTATACCGTAAGTTCCTATTTACTCCAATGACTATTATATACGATAGTATCAAATACCGACCCTTGAATTATCTTAAAATTCATTCCCTCCAAGGTCACAATCAGAATAATTCTGACATTTTTGCTATATTCTTTTCATTGTTCAAATTTACCCTTATTTAACTTTAGCATACACTTCATATGAGAACAGAACTAAATTTGTTTCTAATAAACTTTAAAAATGGGAGACATATAGACATCATAATTGTTCCATTTCACAATGTCATGTGATTAAATTTTGTCAAGGATCAATGAAAGACTAACATAAAAAATATTGACACCCCATCCCTGAGGGCCCACCAAAATCGACTGAACAATTATCTGGAAGGATGTAAATTGAGCCATGATCTCACACTAATGGAAAGAAAGTAAGACTTCATACCAAGCCTTTGCTTGGAGTTGAACTCGAGATCTTTCCCTTGTGTCACTCTCTTTCTACGAGGTTAGCTACGCCCCCCGATAACGAAAGACTAACACAAGACAACGAAGAGTGAAGACATTGCATTAGTAAGAGGGGTTTTTGCCATGAATATTACTAGAAAAATAAGGAATGGACAAAAAAGTGACATTTTGGTTTAATTTTCAGAAATGTGACGAAAAGAAGTAAAGAGACAATTGCACCCTTATGAAACCCAGTGACCCATTACAGTGACCAATCCTGCAGTGACGTTCATCCAGTGACCAATTGATATAGTGATTTCCGCCCAGTGACCGATGACTCCAGCCCAGTGACTAATGTCCGCCCATTTAGTGACCAACATCCGCTCGTTCAGTGACCAACGTTGGTCATGTCCAGCTTGTCTGTTCGTCCAGTGACCAATGTCCACTGCCGCCCAGTGACCAACAATGCCCTAGCCAATGGCCATTGTCTTACCCGACCACAACCGCCTCTAAAGATATCCGTTGACCGCCTGCTCCCCCACCAGCCCACCATAGCCCCTCCCTTGTTCCCCAGTCACGTCCTTGTCCTGCCCCCACCCCCCTCTCTGCTCCACCTCTGTGCCCCAATTCAACCCAAACATTACAGTGCGAGGTGGGCTCTTGCTCTGACCAGTCCACCAACACAGTCTCGACCCACCATTGCCTAACCTCAACCAAAAACCTTAGCCGCTAGACGAGAGCTGGCATCAAAACAAATGAAGAAGAAGGAATAGATAAGAAACTTTGATGTAGTGGTGAATACACTTTTCGATTGACGACTCACGGTGTGATAATCGATGCGAGAAGGCGATGATGTTGCAGATGCGTAGACGATAGTCAGTTTGGAGGAGAGTGGTGGGCGGCGGAGATGAATACCGGACCGACTGGTGACGACGATGATCGATTTAGAAGACACTAGCGGGTGGCGATGGTCGATGCGCCGGAGACACTGGACGGATATGGTGCGGAAGTGCAAGCCCAGGCAAATTTGTTCGAGTGCAGAGCGTTGGGAGGAGATGAGGCGTGCAGACAGGACCCGCTGGGTATTAGGTATAGGGGCATTTAAGTGAGTTTGATACATTTTAAGTCTCATTTTAGTCCAAACAAAATTTGATCTTATTTATGTCTTATCAAAAGTTGGAAGTTATATTTTTGTCATTCTTTCTTAGTAAAACAAGATTTTGAGGGATTAAAAATTGATTTTAGGAATTTTATAATAAAAAAAGTAATTTTTTGTGTAATAAAAACACAATAGTTTAACATTAAACGTATGCTATCCGATTTAAAAAATGATAAACACTTTAGTTAATCATGTGGTATATATATGCAACAATGACAGACTCGTATTAAAACAAAGATCATCAAAAAAATATGGCTTCATTGATGCGTATGGACCAAATTCAAATTCTTGAGATTATTACCCTTTCAAAGGTTCAACACACTACCTTTAATGGGTGGTTGATTCATGTGTACGATATTACTAAAAATGGAGAAGAACAAGGTATATTTGCTCAGAACCAATGAAGAACTCTTATTATTTTCTCAAGAATACTCTAATTCTATATATTTAGTTCTATCGGTCGCTATATTGTGATGATTATTGAATGCTATTAAATGTTGAAAACCCAACTCCTCTTCCGAGTTAACGGGGTTATTTATAATAAGGTATGGTAGCTAAGCTTGATAAGTGATCACGTGCCGCTCTATTCAATTCATTGGGCCTTTCTCCTCCCATATTTGACTAAATTCAAGCATTAAATATTCTTCCCGCTAAAACCTAGTTTCACGTCAAATGTGGGTTTGTGGGGTAGTTCATCATTTCCCCACATCTACACAAGTGATGGGTCGGGGGGTGCTCGCCCTGGGGTAAAGTTGGACGGCCACTCGGGTGGCCCGCTAGGAGGTGCCACTAGGCTCGATCCTACATCAGTCCTGCTCGACGTGGTTGGACATGCTCGCCCGATTTTCCCTTAGCCGACATGGTGTTTTACGGCTCGATCTTCCTTTTGATATCATTCTTTTGTATACAAGAGCTCGGAGTGGGCCCTTGTGCTACGTGCTATCATGCGCGTGGCTCAATACCCCAATAAATGAAATGATTATAATGATAAGAAAATTTAAGAATAGTAATTTTTGCAAAATAATTAAGAACATCTACATATACAAACAGAGTAAGGAAATTAATTTGTTGGCTTTGAGGGATGAAGTGTCATCTTTATGATAAGGAAATTAATTAACTATGAAAAAATATCATAAATGTTACTCTTTAAAATGTGATGGACAAAAATATTAATTAGTACGAGTACTACGTAACTATTAGTGATTACAACAATATTCAAAATTTACATCGTGTTAACTAAATGTAAGTTATGTTGACGCAAACTTGAACATAATTAATTATAGTCACCAATAGTTACTAATACACATTTTTTACCATGATACTTTTATTATGATATTTAAGCGGAAAAACCATTAATTATTAACTAATTATGTGAAAGCACAAATAAATTTATAAAGATAATTATACATCTATTATACTGGATTAGCGGATAGTGATAATTATGGAGATCATAGCCAATAATCCAATACCTCCCCCCAACGTGCAACCAATTACCAAATTTAAACCACACAGATATAAATCACTCTAATCATCATCAGCATTTAATACTAAGCCCTTCATAATCACTAATCTGCTCCTTCACAACCCCCCACCTCCTTCTTCATCTCGATTCCGTTATGTTCACTTGCATTTCCGAAAATGAAAGGAGTTTCATCCGCAGTAAAAATCAGCCACTTAATCGGCGTTTGCTTATCTGATACCTCAACAGATCACTCCCTTTTTCGCTGATTTCTTATCCAACTCTCCGGGAATTCAGCATTTTCTTGGCCAAATAGAGAAATTTCTGTAGAAATCTTTGATCTGAGCAGCCAGCTTGTTCTGATTCTTGAGAGTGTGATCAAATGGAGGAAGAAAACCAAGAACCAAAATTCTTCTGCAAGTTCTGCAACAAAGCTTGCTTCACTGGGAAGTCATTGGGAGGTCACATGCGTGGCCATCTCGGCTTGATTGCAGCTGCCAAAAAGCAGAAGCACAAATCTGAAGCTTCTCGGAAGAACCACTTTCTTGCCAAGAATCAAGAAATTTCCAAGAACACCGGTTCACCTGCTTCTTCTTCGAAGAAAAAGAAGATTCTTTGCAAGAAATGCGGGAAAAGGTTCTCTTCGGTGAAAGGTCTGTCTGGTCATCTGAAGTGCCATTCAAGAAAACAGGGGGAAGAAGAGGAAGAAGATGAAGATCATCGCCATACCTGCAGGAAATGTGACAGAGATTTCGATTCGATTAGGGCTCTGTACGGTCACATGAAGATTCACTCCAAAAGACCCAAGGAAGAAGAGTATGTGCATAGCTTACCAAACACGGCCATCACTCTGTGTCCTGTTCGTAAGAAACGGTCAATCATAAAGTACAACAAACCCACACTCTGTGAAATTGATGACGTCCAAGAGGCTGCTATGAGCTTGTTGATGCTTTCCATGGGGGCGGGGACCTGGGCTGAGTATCTTTCTGCAAAAGAAGAATTTCCTATTCGCAATGCAGAAATGCTAAACAGTGATTATGGTGATGCTGATGAAGACGACTGCGATTCTGAGGAAAACCTACCTGAGCAGATCAATAATCTTGAAAAAGGTGAAGCTTTTTTTGAACCTGCAAAATTCGAAGTGATGAAAATCAGCAAAGATTATGTGTGTCCAATATGCTTCAAGGTTTTCCAATCAGGGCAAGCTTTGGGTGGTCACAAGAGGGCACATTATACTGCAGTCAACACTACTGAAGAAATCAAGGTCAAAAGGGAGTTGAACTTTTCTGATGATATTCACAACAGTCTTGATCTGAATCTCCTCCCACCTGTAAATGGAGAAGCATCCATGGTGGAAAGGGTGTGGTGTCTTGGGAATGAGCTGCTGATCTCAACTAGTAATCTCCAGTTTTAGAATCATACACAGATTTTAAGGTTTCATAACTGTACATAATAATCTGATTTCTTTCTGTTTTCACCTCTCTCATTCTGTACATCTATGGTAGCTCTTCATCACAATGCCTTATAAGCAAATGTACAGTTTAGGCTGCCTTTAGTTTCTGCTGTGATTCATTGTCATGTTCTTGCTGGATATGGTCAAACTGGTTCTGTAAGTTTCTGCGCATATGGTAAGCAATTTTCCCTTTTTGGAGCAACATGAATTCATTTTTATGAAGCCTACTCCGTATAAACTTTATGCCATCCTGTGATGGGAAAACAAATACCTGACCCCATCAATGCAGTTTAGAAATACTTACTGCTGGCTTTTCCATTTATGCAGTTTTTGTTTTGCTTAAATTCAAGTTATTACATTCAAATTAACAAGATACATTTTAGATATGTCCCAAAATATGAACTCTTTTCTAGTTTGACTTTTATTAACTTCATACTCTTAGTTGGACTGTGTTGTGACCACTTCATCTCATTTGAGATGAAATTCGATAAATCTATACAATTGCTTCACATATAATCTTGTTTGGGCAAAGATGTGAAGTGGGCTGAATAAAAGAGTTAATCAACTAATCTGAATGGTTGCAATTTTTCACGTTGTATTTAGGCCTTCAAATTGTTACAATTCTCCCACTATACAAAATGTAGCTTGTTTTTACAAAACGTGTTCTCTGATAACTTTATCATTTATATCTATTTTAAGCGTATAGTCAAAAGATCTTACATTTTGATATAGGTGGGTAATATAGTTTGATAGATCTTACATTTTAAACGTATTGCACGTGCTAGTTACCTTGTAAGGGAGTAAAGGAGGGTGACATGACTGATTGCTTCATCCAAGTAAAAGAAGTGTACCCTTTTTTTGAATTCATTATTATAAAAAGAACAAAACGTGTCAACTAGATGTAAGAAGAACCCTAGAAAGACTAAGAGCATTAAGTGATAAAACAATTGTTACGATTTAGAAGTTGAACTTTGGGAGATTGGTAGAGTCTTACTAAATGAGTATTTATACTTTGGGAGACTACAAGTCTAAGCAACTACTCTCATGATAGGTGTTAATTATATTTAAGTCTTGAACAGGAGAAACGAGTAAAAAAACAAAGAAAAAAGGTTCAAATAAGCCCTTGTACTATTTCCAAACCGTCACTTAAGTCCATGTTATGGATGGACTCGGGCCGGGTGGCCCGACCCGGAACCGGCCTGGGACCGGCACTATTCCGGCCGGCCCGACCCGGTGGCCTGGTCAGTGACCGGTCCGGGTAGGCCTGACCCGTGGGGTTTCCGGTCCGGGCTCGGGTCACCCAAAACAAGGTCCGACCCGGTCGGGCCCGGTTCAGGCCAAAACTATTTTTTTTTTCATTTTTTTTTAATTTTCGGGTTGGGCTGGGTATTTTGGGCCATTTGGGGGTTGGGGGTGGGAGGGGGGTTAATTAGGAAGAGGGGGAAAAATTGATAATGGGCCCGGCCCGGACCCGGTGGTTACCCGGGCCGGTCCCGGGTCCACCACTCTTGAACCGCCGGCCCACCCGGGCCTAGGCCCGACCCGGACCCGGCCCGGCCCCGAGTCCACCCCTAGTCCATGTACCAAAAAAGTATTATATAAGTACGTCTACTTTACAAAATGGATCAATTTTATCATTTAACCAACTTTTGACTTGTAATAACAGGTTTTAATACTTAAAACTTCTAAAAAAATGTCAAACTTTTCAGAATATCAAAGTCAATATTTTTTTTTTTTTAGAAATATTTTTATATTTGACGTCTATTTAAAATGTTTTTAAAGTTTTTATTTTTTCTTTTTTATTTTTCACATTATTTTTCAGTTTTTTAATTTTTTTACTTTATGTTTTTAACAGATTTAACTATTTTTACATTTATACTATTTTTATATTATTATTATTAGATTATTTATTCAAATTTATATGAATTTTTGTATGATTTTTCAATTTTCCTATTTTTGTTTAAATAACCTGCTATAGCAGGTCCAAGAGCTTGGTTGATTCTATTTTAAAAGTATACGTACTTATATGATACTTTTTTTAATACATGAGCTTAAGTGACGGATTAAAAATGGTAGAATGACTTATTTGACCCCTTTTCAAAAATTAATGTTATCTATTTTCTCGGAGTTTATTCGCTTATCTCAACTTAAAAAACATGTGGCCTTATATGTTTGAACCTGGAACTTGGAATAGGTGACGATGCTGATCTTCTACCTTCAAGAGTCTATCAACAATAAGAACTGATGTAACAATATTTGAACTCATTTGGAACATATTAAATATCTTTTCCTATTCTAAGACCAGTCATGATCTTAAGTTACTTAACTAATTTGTCATCTTTAATAGGTTTGTTGGATTATCAGAAAATGAATGGGAAGAAGTTGCAGAACATAAAGCTTGAACACACTTTTGATCGGAGGAAGAAGAAAACTCAAATCACTTTATTTACAGTTGATCATAGCTCTATTTATACAGTTGTAGAAAAGAAGAAAAGAAGAATCTAGAAGTAAGTTTAACTAACTAACTAAGTATGCTACAAGTTAGTTAAATAACAATAAAAAGTCAAACTGAAGTGCCCGCCTTGCTCCCTTCTTTGAAGTCGTTCTTCTTCTTTTCTTTCTTTATTGTTAATAGCCCCCCGCAAGCTGGAGCGCATAGGTTAATGAGACCCAGCTTGAGATGAATTTCTTGGTAGTATGTGGGGCTTAATGGTTTAGTAAGTGCATCTGCAAGTTGCAAGTTGGAGGAGATAGGAAGCAACTTTATCAAACCTTTGCAAACCTGTTCACGAACAGTGTGACAATCTATTTCGATATGCTTTGTCCTTTCGTGGAAAACATGATTGGATGCTATGTGTAAAGCTGATTGATTGTCACAATATAAGAGAGCAGGAGATTTGGGAGATGATTGGAGATCTTGTAGAAGATAAGTGAGCCATTGAATCTCACATGTAGTCTTAGCCATTGCTCTATATTCTGCTTCACAAGAGCTACGTGAAACAATTTTCTGTTTCTTTGTCTTCCAAGAGATTAGTGAGTTTCCGAGATAAATGCAGAAACCTGTGATTGACCTTCTAGTGTCCGGACAAGATGCCCAATCACTGTCACTATATCCCTTTAATTGGATGGAAGACTCTGATGAGAGAAACAAGCCCATAGCAGGTGATCCTTTAAGATATCTAAGAACCTTTAGGGAAGCCTCATGATGTTTAGATGTAGGTCTGTCCATAAACTGTGCAAGTTGTTGGACAACAAATGTGATATCAGGTCTTGTGTTGGTTAGATATATCAATCTTCCAACAAGTCTTCTATAGGCTGCAGGATCAGAGTATGGAGGGCTGTTATCCCGGTGAAGATGAGTGTTTGGGTCCATAGGTGCAGATGAGGGTTTGCATCCTAAGTAACTAGCATCTTCAAGGATATCTAATGTATACTTTCTTTGATTAAGGATGATGCCAGAATTAGATCTAGCAATTTCAAACCCAAGAAAGAATTTTAAATCACCAAGGTTCTTGATAGTAAATGTTTTATCAAGTACCTCTTGGACATGATCAATCTCTTGTAAGTCATTTCCTGAGAGTATGATGTCATCAACATACACAAGTAAAGCAGTAAAAGAATGTTGTTGATGTTTGACAAATAGAGAATGATCACTTTTTGACTGAGTGTATCCAAACTGGATTAAGAATGTGGACAATTTAGCAAACCATTGCCTTCCAGCTTGTTTCAAGCCATAAATTGACTTCTTTAGCTTGCATACTTTACCAAGAAACTCAGTCTCTAGTCGAGGTGGTAATGTCATGTATACTTCCTCATTTAGATCTCCATGAAGGAAGGCATTATTGACATCTAACTGTTTAAGGTGCCATTTATTAATGGAGGCTAGGGCTAGAAGTAGTCTGACAGTTGTGAGCTTGGCAACAGGTGAAAATGTTTCTTTGTAGTCAATCCCTTCTATCTGGGTATACCCTTTAGCCACTAATCTGGCTTTATGCCTCTCAATGCTGCCATCTGCTTTGTGTTTGACCTTGAATACCCATTTACATCCTATGGGACTCTTCCCAGGAGGTAAATCAGTGATGATCCAGGTCCCAGTATCCTTCAAAGCTGTAAGCTCCTTGTTTATAGCTTCCCTCCAATGATCATACTGAACTGCTTGTTTAAAAGTGCGAGGTTCAGTGTGATTAGTAGTCATGGATAGAATGGTAGCTTTGTATGCATGAGTTAATCTATCATAAGAGAGGTAAGAAGAAATTGGGTAAGGTGAGGTGTGAGTATCACTGTAAACATGGTTAATGAGATTACAGTGATAGTCTTTCAAATAGGTGGGAGGTTTATGATATCTATTGCTTCTTCTGAGATTACTTGAGTCAATGAGACTGGATTGGGTGGAGGATTGATGTATAGGTGGTGTTGTTGATTGGGAAGGTTCACTAGGAATGTTAGCAGAATCATTATGGTAATTGATGTTGGGTGAGCTTGTTTCAGAAGGGATAAAAACATCATCACATGTGAAATCAGTCTGAGTAGGAAGTGGTAATGTGTTTATATGGGAAGATTGATGTTTAAAATGATAGGGAAAAATTGTTTCATGAAAGATAACATTCCTGGTGATTGATAGCTCTCTGGTTTGCAGATTTAACACTATGTATCCTTTAGTTTCATCTTTAAAACCCAGAAATATACACTTGAAAGCTCTTGCATCAAATTTCTTTCTGTTGTGATCAAGTGTACTGGCAAAGCATAAGCATCCGAAGACCTTTAGATGGAGTAAATTTGGTTTCTCTTGATAGATTAACTCATGAGGTGTTTTGTTTCCCAGTAGAGGTGTTGGTAGAAGATTGATGATGTGAATAGCATGTCTTATAGCATAAGACCAATACACCTTGGGTAAGGAACTTTGCAACAATAATGATCTGGCCACATTAACAATATGCTGGTGCTTTCTTTCAACCACTTCGTTTTGTTGAGGGGTGTAGGGGCATGAAGTTTGATGAATAATTCCTTTGTTTGAGTAGAATTGAGGCATGAGAAACTCTGGGCCATTGTCACTTCTTATTGTCTTTATCTTTACACCAAACTGTGTATCAATAAAAACAACAAAATCTTGCAAAGCTTTGGAAGTTTCAGCTTTAGATTTCATTAGGAAAATCCAAGTGTGTCTAGAAAAGTCATCCACAATTGTCAAAAAATATTTATGTCCATGGATCGAGGGGATAGCAAAAGGACCCCAAATGTCTACATGCAACAGATCAAAACAATTAGTGTTGTGCGTTTGACTGATAGGAAAACTAAGCTTCTTTTGCTTAGTTAAATGACAAACATCACAAACATGACTTTTATTGAGGATAACAAAAGGGAATTCTGATTTTATTACATCCAAACACTTATTTGAAGCATGAGCTAGTATGTAATGCCAAAGACAATTTTCAGGTATGTGTTGAACATTTAGAACTGAAACATTATTACAAACAGAAAGTGTATGATGATTGGTCGAGGTTTTCAACACATATAAGCCACCAAGAAGTTTAGCTATACCAATCATCTTCAAATTCCCTTTCTCCTGAATCAAGCAACGGTTTTCATCAAAAGACAACACACATGAAGACATGGATGTTAGTTTCGGAATTGATAATAAATTGTAGTTGAATGATGGTATGAATAATACATTACAGATAATGAGACTATCTGTAATAGGAATTGATCCAACTGTATCAGTGAACAGTTGAAACCCGTTTGGTAAATTGATCTTTATTGGCTTAACTTTGTGATGAGATGAAAATAAGGACAAGTTACAGCAAATATGATCTGTTGCACCACTATCCAAAATCCATGAAACATAATGACAATTAGAGATACCTTTTCCATGAGTGATGTTCTGAGAAGTGGTAGCCATCACAGTACTATTCTGAGTGTTGTTCTGAACATTCTGAACTGTAGTTTGCTGTAAATGATTAATGAGTCTTTGGTATTGCTCTTGGCTTATCCCAAAAACAGTGTTTTCAAGTGCCTTTTGATTTACAGGAGTATGAATGGGCTGATCAATTTGAATTTCTTCTTCTCCAGTGTTCTCAGTGTTCACAACATTAGCACCTCTATTATTTGTGAATTTGAAGTTTGCAGGGAATCCATGCAATCTGTAGCATGTATCTGAAGTGTATCCATTTTTCCCGCAATGATCACAGACCTTTCCACTATTGGAATTTTTATTTCCTTTGTAGTTAGGATTATAGTTTGATCCTTTGTAGTTGGGATTAGGATTGTTCCCCTTATATCCACCATTTCCTTTACTGTAGGATCCTGAGATTGTCATGATCTTAGTATCATTTTCTTGACTGAGTATTTGTCTTTCTTGTTGCATAACCAGAGAAAAAACTCTACTCATGGCAGGTAGTGGTTCAATCAACATGATTTGTGATCTGACAACAGCATAGGTTTCATTCAATCCTTTGAGGAATCGAATTATTTTGTCATCTGATCTGTGCTGCTTTATCTTTTCAATAACATCACAAGAGCATTGAATTTCACAAGTACAAACTGGTAGAGGTCTGAAATTATCAAGCTCTTCCCATAGTGTTTTTAATTCAGTAAAGAATTCAGTAACATTCATGTCACCTTGTTTGAAATTCGCTATGGTTTCTTGTAGGTCTGCAATTCTGAATAAGTTTCCTTGTGAAAATCTTTCCTTCAATTCTTCCCAAATGTCATGAGCTTTATCAAGCCAGAGAATACTTTGAGCAATTGATGGAGATACGGATTTGATAATCCACGAATTCACAATATTGTTAGCTCTTTCCCATGCAGGATATAGGTTACTGTTCTTTGGCGGCATCTTTATTGTTCCATCAATAAAATTCAGCTTATTCTTTGATATCAAGCTCATCTTCATGGATCTACACCAATGATGATAATTGTTTCCGTCGAGGACTGGAGAAACAAGTGCGAGTGAAGGATTTTCGTTTGGATGAACATAATATGGAGAACTTGGATTCTGACTTGGATCATCGTTGATTGTGGTTGAGTTCGGAGCCATAGTGATGATGAATTACAATGATGATCAAGGATAATGATGATTTGATTATTAGAGAATCTCTGATACCATGTTGGATTATCAGAAAATGAATGGGAAGAAGTTGCAGAACATAAAGCTTGAACACACTTTTGATCGGAGGAAGAAGAAAACTCAAATCACTTTATTTACAGTTGATCATAGCTCTATTTATACAGTTGTAGAAAAGAAGAAAAGAAGAATCTAGAAGTAAGTTTTAACTAACTAACTAAGTATGCTACAAGTTAATTAAATAACAATAAAAAGTCAAACTGAAGTGCCCGCCTTGCTCCCTTCTTTGAAGTCGTTCTTCTTCTTTTCTTTCTTTATTGTTAATAAGGTTCTCCCCTATTTGGTTGCAAAACAGACCATAATGTATATGTATTAAACGTTATTTATTCAGCTCACTCACACATAAAATCAACACTTTTTCAACGGAAATGGTATTTTTTTACAAAACGCCAAAGTCCCAAAAGTGGCCATAAATCATACGCCAGCATCACGTGCCTAAGTTGGAAGCATGAAATTACAAAAAGGACCAGCCCAGAATTTTGCTAATGTGGAAAGCATGATTAGGCGGGCCCACACCACACCACGAAGCAAAAGATCCGATAAAACCACCCCCGGCTGCTCTCGTCCCACCCCCGCCGGGAATTAAAGGATCGTGCCGGAATGGCTTCTGGCCACCACACCTGCATCTGCCGTTCCTCCACCGCCGCCGCAGCCCCCACCCCATGTTTTTGCTACTCCATACACCCCGCCACCCACTATCACCCTCCGCCGCCAGACCCACATTCCCAGCTTCCATGCTTTCCAGACCACCAACACCATCCCCACTTGTTCCATCCTTGCCCAAATTCGCCCTATAGCTCCCAAACCCTCCACCACCACCACCAGAACCAACGCTGCCCGCCTCAGCCTTTCCTTCAAGAGCTCCACCATCACTGCCAAACGCAGCAGGAATTGAACCCCCAACCCATCGTTTCTTCCCTCCTCCGCCGCATCGCCACTCTGGAGTCTTCCCTCCGCCGCCGATCCGTCTCTTCTCACTCCCTCCGCGATACAGCTGCTCGTACCATCCAGGCTCAATTCAGAGCCTTCCTTGTTCGTAGATCGAGAACCCTACGTCAGCTCAAACAGCTCGCTTCTATCAAGTTAGCCTTCAACGTCCTCAAATCGTCGGCTTCCGATAGTAATCCCCAGGCAGTAATTCTCAAGGCCAATCGCCTTCTTCTTAAACTTGATTCCATCCAGGTAATTTTCAGTTCTGCATCGATCTTCTTTGTAAATGGTATACATTTAGATACTGTATGCGTATTTATGCTGTTATGAATTGGGGAATTACTTGCAGGGAAGTGATCCAATGATCCGAGATGGTAAAAAGTCTATTAGCCGAGAATTGGTTAAGTTAATAGAGCTAATTGATGGGATATCTGTAGAAAAGTATGGCCATCCAAATAGAGTACTCAAGAATGTTAAGCGTGGCAGTAGTAATAACAGGTCTAAGTTTCACATTCTTCATGAAATGGAGAAAATGGAGAGTATTATCAATAAATATATTGACTTGAGGAAATCTGTAGAAGAAGAGGATGATGAATTTGAAACCCCCAGAATTTCAGTCATTAAGAAGTCGGGGATTCTGCAAACTGGAAAAAGGGATGGGGAGTTTCAATCCAAAGCAAACAAAGTTGTGACTTTTGCGGATGATGGTCATAATTTAAGAATCCTCAAACCATCTATTTCCAGTGAAGACTCGTATAGAATGGTTGATGCGAACGAAGAGCTTGTCGGGAATCTCTGCAGGAGGGTTGAAGATCTTGGTGTGGCATTGAAAGAGGTTGATGATGGTGAAGCTCAAGAAAGCAGTGATAGTGGAAAAGAAGATGGTTGATCATGATGGAAAGGGGAGTTTCTTCTTCTCCCCGCCGTTACCTGTGAAGATGGAAGGAAGGGTTGACTCTGCAGATTAACTGTTTTTCACACTGCATACCACATTGGAGTTTGAGTGCTTGTTTTTTGTAATATTGAGACTTATCTGTTGCTACTTAGTCTGTGATAGTGGTAGATGAAGTTGGAAGAGCTTGATGGAGATGCCACTTTAAATTTGTTGTAATGAGACATTGTTTCTTTATTGTGGTTTTGAGAATGTATTCCCCTGGTAGTAGATGCACTGGGGTAAAGATGATGATGATTCCGCTGGTAGTAGATACAGGATGGAAACTCCTGCTCAGTCTAGTGTGATGTGCGGTATGCCTTTTATTAGTAAATTTTGTGATGGACCGGGACCGGGACCGGGACCGGGATCGGGACTGGGTCGGGCCGGGCTCCGGGCCAGGACTGGCCAGGCTCAGGCCTAAAAATTTCAGGCCCGGTACCGGGCCGGGCTGGGCCTAAACAGTACCGGGTCGAGATCGGGACAGGACGGGACCGGACAATAAATTAAAAAATAGTGCAAAATCAGGCCCGAAATCGGCTGGGTCAGCCCAAAAAATGAGTTCGAAGCCGGGCCGGGACCGGGCCTATACATTAGCGGGGTTGGGCCGAGCTGGGCCTAAACAATACCGGGTCCGGGTCGGGCCGGCCCATCCCAGTCCATCCTATTAGAAATAACAATAATAATGAATTAATGATGATGATTGATGAGGCTTTCTTCATCTAGTTAAAAAAATTAACTTTTTACTTTGAAGGCAAAAATGAATGATGCACAAATATGGTTGACCGGTTGCTGTACAATGTTTTCAAATCATACACTAACTACAAGTAGGGCTGTTAACGAGCCGAGTCGAGCCTGAACACCCAAAGCTCGAGTTCAGCTCGATAAGGAATTAGTGGTGTTCGGGTTCGAGCTCGAAGCTCGGCGAGCTTTACAAATGAGGTTCGTGTTCGGCTCGATAGACGTTTGATGTTCGATCCCAGTGCTCGATAAGCTCGATAAATATGCTCGAATTTAAAATTTTAGGTGATGCTCGTTAATAAGCTCGTGCTCGAATGGTTCGACAAGTATTCGATTCTTTAATAATCATATTTAAATTCATAAAATAATAATAATTATATTTAAAATTTTAAATTATATTTATAATTTTAGGGTGTTCGATAGGCTCGAGTTCGAACCGAGCCGAATACTACTATGTTCGAGCTCGGCTTGATTAATTTTTCGAACTTAAATTTCAGCTCGGGTTCGTGTTCGAAAGCTCATTAAGCTCAGCTCGTTAGGTTCAAAACCAAGCTCGAACTTGAATAGTTCGATAAAAGCTCGGTTCGTTAACAGCCCTAACTACAAGCATCCATCAGACATGCAAGTATCTAGATTTGTTGGTCGGACGGTGGAAAAAATTGGACGTACACCAAGGTTCGAATCCCGCAGTGGCCAAAAGGGGGTTTTCAGAACCTGAAATAAGGTTGGTCCTCTGGTGCGCACGGGTAAAGGCCTACTGCCGCTTTGCTGACCGAGCCATCGTGATTAACCTCCTCACCACCCTGTCGGGTCGGGTGGGGGCCTTGGGGTTGGGCATTCAACCTTTTTGGACGCAGTATCTAGATTTGTAATTTGTATAATACAAGCATGTCATAAAACTTGAAAAAATTAATATACATCACAAAACGCACAAGAACATCTGGTAAAGAAATATGTCTAATACGTGGATATGACACGTAATTAAATTATCATCGCTAGATTAACCTATCGGCACCAGCTAAATAGGTCTCTGTAAATGATTTATTAGCATTTTTACTTATACTATAAAAAATTACAATCAAATATATTTAGATCTTGATTAAAATAAGAACAAAAATGTTACTTGTACATGTCGGCTTACACACTTGTTTACACGCCGAGTGTATTTTGTGTGAGCACACACAGTTCACTTTTTCGAGGTCACAGACAATTCTCTTTACTTAAATGAAAATCAATTATTTGTGCAAAGACAAAATACACTCGACGTATGAACCGACTTGTACTGTTAGCTTTTTTGGAATAAGAATGATATGTAAAGAGAGGCATGACAGTGAATATAAATATATAATTCACTATATTCAGTTCACAACCTCGATAAATATATAATTCACTAATTTTTGATAGGACATTAGTGCAGAAAAAACGCATCAAATGGATGGGAAACAAGTGGATCAAATTTACGCTTAAGACCCTCCATTACACGATATCTTGAGTTCACTTCACCAAACCAACCATTCCAGCTCACTGGATGGAAGGTTACCGTGTCCTAGCGGATGTCTCGGGTTCGAATCCCGCTAGGCACATTTAGGGGAGAGGAGGGAGGTCTTGTTCCCAATGATTCTTCCTACCTTCACGGAGTTGCTCAGCGGCTGAGAAGGGAGAGGATGGTAATGAAGGTAGCGGGTTCGTGTGGTGGGAGGAGCAGCCTGAAAGGTGATGTAAGTCCTGCTGGATTCGTCCTTTGGAGCGAGTACCGACGAGGCTGACTGTGATCAGATCCGGAATAATTGTCTAGGGACTTTGGAGGGTAGTTCATAGACTCCAGGATTATGGGAGCGTAAGCCCCGACACCTCGATTATAAAAAAAAATTGAGTTCACTTCACCAATTAGAGGATTTATATACGATTCACTTTACACTTGAGACTTGAATTAGTGCTTCATCCATTTTCAATTAGTGCTCAATCATTGAGTAACTTCCTACAGGAAACTTGAATATGTTGACATATGTATAAGTGAATGTTATCAACCAATGATTTACTCTCTGCGTGAGTAATTAAAAGCTTATCATTTGATCTCATGAAAATGGACTATAGTAGTATTAATAATAAAACATTCCCACTCATATAAGTCTCCCCGTGAGACTGTAGTCGTGTCTACATAAATGTTATTGGTGTAGTATTTCAATTATTAAAAGTGATTGTGATGAAGAAATGAGTTTTGTTGTGAAAAGATTACAACCAATTGAGGAGGTTCTTGCCCTGAAATGCATAGCTCCAAGGTATGATTCACTTAGGATATGTTTAGGAGTTTGGAGGGGAGAGGAAGGCTTTGGAAGTATGTTGTTGGAGGGGAAATGGAGGGGAGAGTGGGGAAGTCATTCTTTGTATTTCAGAGTAATAAATGTTGGGCCGCGGGTATGCGGGGCCAACAATCTGCCAGCCTGCCGGTGCAATCGAACCGCGTGGCGCTTCGCTTGTGCTATAAAGGGAGGGGAGCGTGCTACACTATCAGCGATTGCTTTTAGTGTAGCGGTAAGCGCAACGATCCATAAGTGGTATCAGAGCCAAGGTCACGGATTCGACCCCCGGCAACAACATGTTGCGCAGTTGAGGCTGGCAGGTGCTGGGGGGAGATTGTTGGCCGCGGGTATGCGGTGCCAGCAATTTGCCAGCTTGCCGGTGCAATCGAACCGCGTGGTGCTTCGCTTGTGATATAAAGGGGGAGGAGCGTGCTACACTATCAGCGATTGCTTTTAGTGTAGCGGTAAGCGCAACGATCCACAATAAATTTGGAAGAATGAGAGTTTTTGAGCGAATTATAATTAAAATTACTTTGAGATATGATGAATTCAAATAATTGAATTGATATTTATTTTTAATTGAGCTTAAATTACCATTTCGTTAATTATTTTTCAAAATCCTCCAAATTGAAGGAACTCAAAAATTGAGCATTTAGAGAGTTTTGGAGGGTCACAAAAGCCTTTCAAAACCATCTCCTTCAATTATATAAACTCCCAAAAATAAAAATGAAGGTCATAAACCCCCATCAACATAACTTTCCTTTCCCTTCCAAAGCCCAACTCTCAAACACACCCTTATTAGATTTATATTTTAAAGTACTGTGTACTAATTTGGAGTTGAGGACTTTGGGCTATATTTGGCATTACATTAGGTTTCTATAAAAACAAACTATTCATTTAATTTCCACGTACACTAATATCACTATAGGTTTCTTGTGTACATTTTTCATTTTCTTTGACATGTTTTAATTACACTCTAAAGAATAGAAATATCACCATTTTAAGAGCCCAATTTGCAGCATACACACAATGTTGACTAAATCTCATTAATGTACTGATATATACATATGTGTGTATATCTATGTGGTCAAAATGGTTGATGTTGAATCTCTTGGAAAATGTGTTAAAAATTTGCATTAAATGGTCAATTTTGGGCAATATTTTGAGTGGGGTTCACTTCCGATTTGGGTCAGATCAAAGTGGTTTCGGATTATCCTTGGTAAGGGCTACAATTCGATATGTGGTACACTTAAAACGGATGACGGTGAATGGGAAATTGATTCTCAAAGTTTACTCCTTGAAATGGAGAAAACTAGGAAAATGATAGGGTTTCTAGTGTGATTTATCATACACCGGAAATCCGAAGGGATTTCCACCCCCTTATAAAGGGAACCCTCTTTGGACGAGTTAAGATTCCTATATGGAAAGGCTCTCTTTGCGCACAAGGGGTGTTGATCAAATCCCAAAAAACGGAGAAGAAAACTCGTGAGTCGCGTGCGTGGGCGACCTGCGGACACGAATGCCGTTCGAAAATTTATCTTCTAATGATAAGATTTAATTTTTGTTTCTTCCCGTAATGTTCCTATTTTTTGCTCCAGGATCAGCCCGTTGGAAGGTCTGCTGCTCAGTTGTTGAACGATCAGCAATAGGCTGCTGCTTGCTGAAGCATTACAACAATAAAGTCCAACGTTCTGCTACCTGAATGCAATTAAATGGACAGTTTCTTGGACGAATCAATGCCCAACGTTCAAGTCCTTTGATACGCCATTAACACAAACAAATCCTTCCCTATAAGTAGCTGGAAGGTGCTTTGCAACAAGACACGAACTTACACGTTCATACTCATCCTTCACGTAGTTTTTGAGCTAAAAACACCTCCAACATTCTGCAAATTTCCTGAGTGTTCTTGATGTGTTTCGTTTGTCGGAACTGCCATTTGTGTGTCAAACGATCGTTCGTTTTCCACCGTATCATGGGAAACGATCGTTCCAATGCTCCTAGCACCGTGGGAGGCAACAAATGCATTTTAAGGACATTGTGCGTTGCACACTTGCACAAGCTTTGGCAATTTTCTGTTCCATCTTATTTCTGTTTTTCTTTGGCCATTTTAATTAATTTTATTAATTAATTTTATTTGTTTTTCGAGTTCACACCAACAGGATCTGACGAATTATAAATTAAAATACATAGTAATTATTTTAAAATTATATTGTGTTAATAAAATGAAATAAAAGTCACGTACAAAGAAATTTAGAATAAATTC